ATATCCGTTGGTTTGAATATAAGTGTGTAAATGCTTATCCAAAACTATGATTCTCTGTTATACATGCGTAATATGCCAATACTATACAATACAACACGCTCATTTCTAGCTCCCTTTGAACAACTCAAGCGCCTAGTTCTACATAAAAATTCTATGTAATTTTACATAAAAACAACTTCGTGATGGCATTGGCAATTGCCCAGCTCTAGTTCGAATCCAGCAAAATACTAACATTGGTACTATTATCGGGAAGTGATTTGTGGAATTGCGGGGCTTATAATATTGACAACAACCGCAGTAATTATTATTAATATAGTCAAAAAAAAAAACAAATTAATACTGACACTTCGCAAGATCAAATTACTAATCATCAACCTATGTCATAATTGATTCGGTCGAAAGAATCATGAAGGTATTCGGACAAAATATGGTTATTATATAACTTTGCAAATTGAAAAATTTAAATGCTATTTCAAAAGTTTCAAGTTTTTATACCAAGTTTGATATATATTAATTTTTGATAAAATTTACTGTAATTAAATATTATGATTATAATCTTCAAGTCTAATCAAGTTTATATAGCTATATTGAATTATTCACTAAGCTAAAGGAATACCCTGAGCGTAGCCAAATACATTATTAGGATCATATATTTTTTTCACAGCAATTAATGCAGGCAAATTACTTCCATAATATCTGTGTAGCCAATCTGTTAAATCTCGATCAATATAATTTTGATAACTACTATAATCAGTGTAATTCGATTGAAAAGTTTCACCAAATCTATTTTTAATTGATTAATACATTGTATGTTCGTCGTATTATCATCAAAAAGATATATAACTAATTCAATTAAATAAAACACATCCCATGTACGAATGCAGTAGCATTTGCCGCAACTCTCGTTGCCGCACTACCTGCATATAACTCTAATGATGCAAGTGCCCTACATGTAATTGAAAGACCTTTCATAAAAGATACGAGTGATTTAACTCCCTCTGCTGAAAGTCCTAGTGATTTTACATAGAATGACTTTACTTTAAAGTTATTAGGTTTATGATATGGATTTATTGTGCAATTTAATTGTCTATGTCCCCACCTTACAACGCTATCAAAAAAAGTTTCTTCTGTAAATTGATTCGAAGTTGGTTGTGATAGTGAAATAATTGTTTCATAACTTGCATTGCATTCGCTTGTGATCCTAAATAAATACATATCATCAGGAAGTGTCGGTCCAAGTTTGTTAATTGCATCAAAAAGAGTTTGAATCTTGTTAATATCATATTTTAATGTTATAGATGTGACTTTAGGAGGAGTAGGATACAGTTGAAATGTAAACGAAGTAACTATTCCATAGTTATTAGCCCCAGCTCCACGGAGGGCAAAAAATAAATCCGAATACT